GGGGGGGGGGGGGGGGCGCCAAATGTGGCGATGACATATCCCCGAGTACAGAACAACCGCCACAACCCGCGTGTAGCTTTCGCCTTTTCTATCCCCTCTCCAGGGGCAAATATCCACGCCTAAGCTCCCACTTCTCGCTAAAGTATTCATCCTCTGGGTGGCTCTATTGTCAGCAGTACATGAGCCATAGCCTCGTCTAAATTCCTAGTATCCCCCTCAGTAACCCTTATGACCGTCCTGCCCCCACTCTGTATAGTTGGATAGAATTCATTTTAATATAGGTACATATAGCCCTTAGTAATATGACGCCTGATATAGACTGTTACAGGGTGGGGGCAATACCCAAGATTCTCACAATGTGAGCCACAGGACAGGACAAGGTACAAGCTGCCCTTAGCAGGGTCCTGACTAGAGATGCAGCTGAAGCTCTTTTTTTGTTTTTGGCTTGGTCGGTTTGTGTAGTAAAGTATCTCCAAGTGGATCTTAGCAGCGAGCGGGTACTCCCCATATACTCCATATTCTACCTACCTAAGGTTGACTATAAACGGGAGTCCTTGGACCGTGCCTCAACGGTAAGACTTGCAGCTGCTGCTGGCGCTGCTGCTGCAGATCGTGGGCTGTAATTATTCATTGTCCTTGCACATATAGTTGTGTGGCTTTGCGAATAGGGACCCAAATAGCCCAATGTAGGTAATATTGACAGACTTAAGGGCCCAATGTAGGCATTATTTATATACTTGGATCCCTAGGGAATGAACATACTGAATACAGAGTCATCGCTGTGTTTTCAAGCCGTCTCATTTACAACTTCTCATGCGCTCTTCATGCCCACGCAGGAGAAGCTGAAGAAACTGTGTTCTGGCTTTGAGCTTCAAATCGTCAAGTGCAAGGCCTGTCGCTGTTGTTTTGCGTTCCCCATCTGGTGAATAGATTGTTCTGTCCCATGTCTTCGGCTCGCAAAAACAACTTTGACTCTATACTACATTGTTCATATGAAGTCATGCTATTTCATGGTCACAGTCTAGGATGTGGTCGAACAATCCGTTTTCAATTTCACCGGTCATTTACCGATACCAATCAAATTGATGGTGTCATGGATAGTGCACGAGTGCAAATTGATTGTGTCCGGTTTCTCAGGTCATGTTTCAAAGGGCTCCCGTGCTGAGACATGCGCGAAGTGCTGTGCAGCTTGATTGGCTTTGGTATGCTCGCTATGCAAGGCAAGGGCAGATGTAGGACAACTGGGACATGTCTCGTGCTCTCAGGCAGACACCGATCCCGTTCGCAATCTCTGCAAAGGCCACGAGCCGGATGACAGCCACGATTATTACTGCGCCTACGGGCTATTACGATCATCATTATTACGACAACTATCATGTAGGTTGCCTTTGCGTCTGCTGTTGGTGCATCTGTTGCTGGCGCATCTGCTGATTCAAGTTGCACTCATGGTCGTGGGGCCTCGTAATCAGCGTCCCTTGCGAAATAAGCAAGTTGCTGCCCAACCTTGCACATATCATTGGCATAGGTTTTTGGGCAGCCTTGATTTGCGTTTACCCGCTGGACACTTGGGAAAGTTGTTTGCTTGATCTCGTGTTTTCAAATGGAAACGGTTTTGCCTGTCGAAAGCGATTGCACTGAGCAATCCATTCACGATCCAAGTTGGAATGCCCTCAAGGGATCAAGCGTGATTGAAGGCTGCGCATGCCTGTCGAGATTGCAAAAGTTTTAGTTTTCGTCGTCGGCTTTGCAAATTTTGTCTTCCCAAGATTATGGGACTTCAGCAATGTATTCCCTAAGAACTGTTGAGGGGGGCACCATCATCCCTACAGAATCCCTATAGAGCCCCTGGGGCCTCCTGCGAGAAACCCGCACGCAATTTACGAGCTTGAGGACGGAAGTCCAGTCCACAGATCCTTTAGATGATGTAATTCCATATCCATTTAATGCGCTTGTTATATAGCCCTATTTGTACCAAACTCGTCAGTAACTGCAGCGTGCCACCAATCAGGTCGTGCAAAGATCATGGTGCGCTACAATCCTGGCCGTGATGGCGCAGCGGCTGGCCTGCCTTCAGACCAATACTACGTGATTTGCGGCCTTTGTGCTTTACCCCTTCAAGATCTAAGCTATAGTCTGAACTCCTGGTATCCCCGTTGATACCACCTATAGTAGTCCCATAGCCCCTGTATACCCCCCCCCTGCAAGGAATTTAGATTATAGCTTACATGGACCAGGAATCCCAGAGGCGAACTTCATTGTCATCCCCTATGTATCCTTGGGCCCTAAACCTGAAAGGCTCCCTAAACCCGAAAGGCTGCGAAGCCTTCTTTGAGAACTAAACCGTCTTGGGTTTGGATTGATTCGGGGCGTTCTGCATGCTTCAGTCAGTATTGCAGGACCTGCATTTTGACGCCTGACATGTCACCAACCTTCTCGTCCTAGATTCCTTATATGGTATAGAGTACCTTAAAAAGACTTCAAAGTAATATTGGCAAGTATCTTGGCCCCTACGTATGTAGGCGCAGTTTCATTTTGTCATGTATGATTCTCCGTTATTTGTACCTAAAATGCGGGCACCGAAATGTAAATCATACGTATCACTATGCCCCTAAACCCTCCTGGACCCTAAACCCCCAAACCCTAATCCCTAGACAATCCCTATATACACCCCGTATAAGCTTATAGAATCCCCATGTAATCCCTACGTAATCCTATGCAATCCTTATGTAACCATCACGCAATCCCTATGCAATCCCTAGATACTCCATATGAGCACCTGTATAATCCCTAGAGAACCCCTATGTTCTCCCCCCCAAGCCTGCAGTAAAATCCGGCCAACAAGTGCGAAGGAACTAGAGGCCTTGATCCAGCATCTGGAGGCAAGTGAAAATGAGATTTGGAGTGTAGATTAGGGTTTAAGGATCTAGGAGATTGCAATGATTTGGGGTTTAGGGCTTGGAGTGTACCTTAGGATTTACGGATCTTGAGATTTCGGGTTCAGGGTTGGGCATCATTGTAGTCTACTTTTCCCAATTGTTTCTACTACTGTGAGTTGAAGAAGCCCGTTTTCTTGGGAAACGCGGATTTCCAGGTGGGGCTTACGGTTCTTGGCTTTGAGGTTAGGAATTTCGGAATTTGAGTTTAGGGTACAGGGTTTGAGGTTGCAGTTCAAGGTTTTTGGGCTTTTTAGGCCATAGTGTTCAGGGTTGGGGAGCTTCTGGATACCTCGATACGTCCTTGAGGGTCTCCATGCGTCTCAAGGATTTCTGCGAATAGGACGCCCTGATGGGTCTTAGGTGTTTCTACGGAGATTATAAGATTCAAGAGGATTCGAGAGGTCATATGGTAGTTTCCCTTCATAAGGGGACCTCAATCTGGGCCCCAATATACTATAGTCCTGATTATAGGGACACCCCAAAAAGGTGCCCCAGCTTTGTCACTCATATCGCGAAATTTCCGTAATATGACCGGACTCCTGGAGATGGAATGAGGCAAGGACCCCAGAAAGGACCACAATTTGGACGCCTTGCCTCACGCTGAAGAAGTAGGCTGCTTAAAGCCAGCGTTGAACTTTCCCTAGAAGCCCAGTTACCTATATATAGGGTTCCTGCCCTTAAGTCCCTATATAAATCTATATTATCTATAACCCAAGGACCTACTATATGGGTACCTGGGCTTCTAGGGTTTGCCTTGATGCTGACCAAGGAGCCCGGCAGGGGACTACACTCAGGACGTCTGTCTTCTTTTTCTCAAAAGGGGCCTACATGCTTCCATGTTACTTAGTTGGAGGAGGGTGAGTCCTAAGCCCTAAACCCGAATCCCAAACCCACACCCGAGACAGACATTAAACCCAACCCAAGGCCCCAAACCCTATAAACCCTACCTGCGGGGCGGGTGATGTGGAATGATACACCAAAAGTATTCCCTCGTAGCATTCGTATACCCAGAGTAGACTGTACCCAAACCTATATTACAAATAAACAGGCCTCTACATTCAATTCGCAGACGCCCCACACGAGACCCCGTTTCCGTTCAAGGTTCCATTGTCTTTTGATTCCATCTCTTAGTTATTTAGGCCCCCAACCCTCAGACCCCGCACAAGTGGTGGCGGTGGTGGTGCGTGACCGTAGTGATGTTGATGGCCAAGAAAGCTCCGCACGTATGGGCCGCAGCGAACCCGTGGATGGTCCTAGCGAGGGTCCTGGCGAAGTTTGTTCAGAGATGGTTGGCTTCGGGGCTGCGACGGATTCGACACAAGCAAAGCGCACAGTTGGCAAGGGTCCATTGAAGGGTGCTGAGGATGCCTCCAATGACCTTTTGGGGGCTATATAGGGATTCTATTGGGATTCTATTGGGGTTATATTGGTAGGTCACATGGGGCAGCGTCTGGGGCCTAGCCATGGGCTTGCACAGAAAAGGTGCGGAGGTGTTTATATTTTTTGCTTGAAGAACAACTATGTCAAACCCTGCTTCGTTTAATGTAGACCCCTTGTTAATGAACCCCCTCAATCCGAGCACTAGAACAATAAAAGGGACCATATCTAAAGATTTTTTTGGATAGAATTAGGCTCCAAAGACTAGCTACAATTAGGTGGCTTTTAGTACTGTTGACGAATGCAATCTTGCACCACCTAGGCCTAAACTACTGTAATTCCTAGGGTTATAAGGACTCAATGTGGTGCAAGATTTCCTCCATCAATAGTATGGGGGAAAGGGACCAGATTTAAAGAACAATTTCGGGGAACCCATCCTGATAATAGA